CAGGCTCCCAGCCCACGCACACCACTAGAGCCTCCGCGACAGCATTCGCCCGCCCCTCGCGCGCTCCCCGCAGCCCTCCCGCGTGCGACCCCCGGGGTCCCGCGGCTGACCCGCGCGGAATGTGACCCCCTTTCACCCTGTCCGGCCTCCCCTGACCTCCGGGGGGCCCGCCTTTGCCTGCTTTTGGGGCGGTGGGTGGGGAGGGGCGCGCGGATCATGGCATTGGAGTTCCCGGGTTTGCAGCCGCCGCCGCCGCCTCGTCCACGCACCCCGAGCGCCCCTTCTTCCCGTAGCAGCAGCGGAGGAGGCGAAGCGGCCGGCGGGGGCGAGGCAGATGGGGCTCAAGGCGCGCAGGGCGGCTGGGGCGGCCGGCGGAGGCGGCGGCGGGGGCGGCGGAGGCGGCGGGGCCGCTAACCCGGCGGGAGGGGACGCAGCGGCTGCCGGCGATGAGGAGCGCAAAGTGGGGCTGGCGCCCAGCGAGGTGGAGCAAGTCACCTTGGCGCTCGGGGCCGGAACGGACAAAGATGGGACCCTGCTGCTGGAGGGCGGCGGCCGTGACGAGGGGCCGCGGAGGACCCCGCAGGGCATCGGGCTCCTGGCCAAGACCCCCCTGAGCCGCCCCGTGAAGAGGAACAACGCCAAGTATCGGCGCATCCAAACTTTGATCTACGACGCCCTGGAGAGACCGCGGGGCTGGGCGCTGCTCTACCACGCGCTCGTGTGAGTACCTGGCGTTCGGGGCGCCTCTGGGCGGCGGCGCAGGTTGGGGTTCGGGGTGGAGGCCTGGATGAGGACCGGGTGCTTGGCATGGCATTGGAGACCAGCCTGCCCCCAGTGCGCGTGTCTTTGCCGGTTTGGTCTGTGTGTCCATTAACCGCTCTCTGGGGGTCGGACCCCAAGGCTTAAAAAAGGTCCAAGCTTGGTCCCTCAGACCATTTGGAGGTTGGATTGGCGTGTTTGCGCATTGATGACACCTTCTCCGGAGTCTGGTATCCAAGCCGGAAAGAATTATGTGATTTTTCCAGCGAACGTGGAGGTTGAGCAGGATAAAGCGGCTCCTCCCTTGTCCGCTGTGTTGCTTGGGGCGGGTCCTTTCTCTTGGGATCGCTACTGAGTTTGGAGGATGCCTCCTAGAGTTGGGATGGGAGTTGCCCACAGCGGGGTGTGTGTGTGTGTGTGTGTGTGTGTGTGTGTGTGTGTGTGTGTGTTGCTTGCATGTACTCCCCTTCTTAGGGCTGCATCCTGGTCTAGAAAAGGTCCTGGCGTTGCTGTAACTGGGGACTTGGGCTGTCAAAGTGCATGTCTTGGAGTTCTTTTTAGGGAGGTTAATGAGAGAGTGTGTGTCTCAGGCTCGATGCCTAGACTGAGAGGCTGGGGCTTACCAGTGCCAGAGGGGGAGTGCCCTGAGGCTTATTTTGGCTGAGACATCTCCGTGACTTGGTGCTGAGCTCCCCTCTGCGTCCTCTGCTGCCCGTTCTCCTGCTTTGGCTGGGCAGGAACACGGTGGAGGTGTCTGTGGAGGGGCCTGGGCTGGAGGTGTGCCCCTGGGCGCCCTTCCCCCAGGAAAAGTCTCCCTGCAGTCAGGAGGTAAATGCCTGTGCACCCCACACTCTGGATAGAAAATCCTCCTGTGTTTGGGGAGAGGGAGAGGATGGGAGAGATGGCTTCTCCCCCAGGAGGGGACATCAGGGCTGTAGGCTGACACCTCTGAGCTGGCAGGGCACGTCCCCCCTTGCCTCCCCTTGCCTCCTGTCTGTGGCTTAGTCATCCTGATGGCTGCTTCTTACGAGGCGGTACCTTACTGGGGTTTGGGTGGAGAACTGGCCATGACCTTGACCCCTTATAAGTGTTTGGCTTTGGATATTCGTCTCTGCCCTCCTCCATGATTGATGAGGCCCCAAGGGAGTTCAGAAAGCCTTGGAGTTACACTACCTGCCAATCTTCCTGGGTTGGCATGCTTTCCCAGATTTGGCCACCAGGTGGGGTTGTTGGCACAGAACCTCTGAGTTGGCAACAGGTTTCTTTAGAGAGATTACTGAAGCCTGGAGAGGTGGCCTCCCTGGAAACTGAGGTACCAGCAGGAGGGAGGGGGCATCCAGCCAGGAGCATGGGTTTAGGGTGGCCTAGCCTTTGGCTTCCTCATATATTTGCAGGTATAAATGGTGGAGAGAAGGGTTAGTAGTTATTGCTTTTCCATTTGCTTTCTTCAGGTGGTAAAAAGGGATTAAAAATGCATTCATCTTGCTGTCTCTAGCACTGTATTTAGTGACATTGAACTGCAGTTAATACTGGAATATGCGATAATAAAAAGGCATGAGTTATTTGAGTGCACACAAACATACACAGACTCACATGTTCTTTTGCACATAAATGGGGTTTAGTACTTATTAGCTGACTTCCAAACGGGGGGGGGGGTCCCCCCTGGAGCTTGTGGGCTTAGTCTTTCTTCTCCCACCTTTTCCAGCCACACCCCAGGCCTGCCTTGCCCAGCTGGGGAAGGGGCAGCTGAGGCCTGTGATTGCCAGAGTCTCAGTGATCCTTCCCTAGAATTACCCATCACCCAGAAGCAGGTATGAGAATGCCAACACCTGTAGCCTCAGTTTCCCAGAAGGTTCCAGGAAAACATGAGACTGTGGGAGAGGGAAGAGTTGGATACCTAGTGATGAAGCCAGGTACTTTTAAATGATCACCATGGACCTGTGAGGTGGGAATTACCTACATTTTGTAGATGAGAATATGAAACCTTCCAGGGAGAAAACCACCTGTCCAAGATCCTACAGCTAATGGTGCCTGCGCTCACGTCTGAATGCAGTGGGTCAGGGCTGTTTCTGAGCCGGAACCCCGTTCTGACCCTCAGCCAACAATGACAGGACGCTTAGTATTTTCACTGGGTGTCACTGGGTGCCTCTGCCCCATTGGTAACATAGGACTCTTACCTCTCTGTAATGCCTCTGACCCCTTCCCAGCTCCCAGTTGGCAAATGACTAGAAATGGACTTTGGAATGAAAACAGGGGCTGCTCAGAATTAGGGAATGTGGGATGGGCTGGGGGTGGCAATGTGGATTCAGGTTAGTTCGGATGGTGCAGGAAAGCCGTGTGGGGCTGGGTTCAGAGGATGTCGCAGGTTAAGTAGTGAGGGGGTGACTTGTACATCCTCCTCCAGCTTAGGAGGAAGTCCAGTCAGTTGAACAAAATTGAACCTTTCATTGATGATTCAGGATTTTGCAAGACACTGAAACCATCCATGGATGCTTCGAACCATCCATTATCCTGTCTGGGCTGTGGCTAATGGTGTGAGGGGGCCTGGAAATTGGGCTGACTGGGCTCACAGTCTAGTGCATGGTTTGTTTTGTTTGTTTTTAAATGAACCAGACTCATGAGATGCAATTTTCTTCCCTCTATTGCAGTGGTTCTCAGCCTTCCTAATGCCGCGACCCTTTAATACAGTTCCTCATGTTGTGGTGACCTCCAATTTCATGTTACAAATTGAACATAATTAAAGCATAGTGATTAATCACAAAACAATATGTAATTATATATGTGTTTTCCGATGGTCTTAGCCAACCCCTGTGAAAGGATTGTTTGACCCCCAAAGGGGTCGTGACCCACAGGTTGAGAACCGCTGCTCTATTGTAAAGGTAGAATACAGCAAATGTGGACACCAAAGACCCCACCCCTTTGCCTTAAATGCCCCTCCCCCCCTTGCTCCTGGCTGCTCACTTGGCCCAGCTCTGGGGGAACCTCTGGGAGAAGCTTTTCCCTGACCCTGCAAACTGAGCTGGAATGCCCCACCCCCCCTTTCGGCAGCATCCCCAGCCCTAGGATTTTGCATGATGCATTGGATCCATCTGCCTGTTTGTCTCCCCATTGAACTGAGAGCTGCTTGGGAGCAGGGGCTGTGTGTTCCTTAGCATCCTCGGTCCCAGCAGGCTGCGGGCCCCTGGTGGTTACTCAGCAAGCCTTTCCTGGATGGATGAGTGCAAGAACCCTCTCAGGTTTGCTAAGACTCCATTCTGTACAGCATTCCTATTAGAACAACAACGACGATACTAGGTAGCCAAGGTCAGCACGTAGGATTTTACTGATAAGAATGGTTCTCAGAGGTCTTACAATGGAGGCTGGGGAGGGGAAAAAGGAGGGAGACCATGCCCTGAGCCCAGGAAGGCTGGTCACTTCTCTGCTTTGTTAGTCTTACGGCTGAAAGGGATTATGGCGCTGTGGAAAGGTGTTGGGCTTGGAGTTCCCATCTGGCCTTGGCCTTAAGTCTGTGCTTTGCATGAGCCAGGCTGGGGATGACCTGTCGTTGGGGAGGATAACGCTGCCCTAACACAGGGTGGTTTTTAGACCTAAAGACGATGGTGTGTATGAATGGAATTGACCCGGCATCAGCCACCCAGTGTTCATTAGTTGATTTCCAATAGGGGTCTCTGTCGCCATAGTCGTGCGCACTGACCACTGTGCTGCCAGCCATTGTCTCGGGACTCCCCTTCCTGGCCTGTTTGGCATTGCTGCTGGATTGGCATTGCACAAGCCCTCATGCCCTGACCACCTCTCCATGGCCTGCTGGGTGTGACCGGTCACTCACCTCTCCACAGACCAAGGGGGAAGCAGTCACAAAGACTACCCACTGGTTGCCTTTTCATTTTGCTACAACCATAGGTTTGACAAGGGGTTACTATCCAAAATACATAGGGAGCTCATACAGCTCAATAGCAAGAAAGCAAATAAGCTGATGAAACCAAAGGGCACAGGACCCAAATAGACATTTTTTCAAGAAGATATACAAATGGTCTACAGGTCCATGAAAAGGCGCTCCAGCTCACTAATCACCAGGGAAATGCAAATTACAATCACAGTGAGGTATCACCTCACACCTGTTAGAATGGCTGTCATCAAAGAGACAAGAGTTAAGTGTTGGCAAAGATGGAGAGAAAAGGGAGCCCAGTGCAATGTTGGTGCGGTTGTAAATTGGTGCAGCCACTATGGAAAGCAGTATTGGTTGAGCTGCATGCACTTACTCTTTTTATATAATTTAAAAAATTCTTAAACTACAGTTGGCATACAGTATTGTATTAGTTTCAGGTATACAACATAGTGCTGAGACATTTATATAACTTGCCCTGTCAGAAGGACTATCATTAATAAATCAATAAATGACAACTGCTGGTGAGGGTGTGGAGAAAAGGGAACCTGTTGATCAATATGCTGTTGATGGGAATGTAAATTGGTGCAGCCCTGTGGAGAGCAGTATGGAGGTTCCTCAAAAAATTAAAAATAGAATCTACCATATGACCCAGCTACTCACTTCTGGGTAGTTATCTGAAGAAATCCAAAGCACTAATTCAAAAAGATATATGCACCTCTGTGTTCATTGCAGTGTTGTTTACTGCCCGATAAACGATCGGATACAGAAGATGTGGTATATATGCACAATGAACACGCTTGCTTAGATTCATGGATTCCTATAGACCATGTCTCAGGTACCTTGGGCTTTGTCCAGGCAAGACAAACACACAGGAGAAAGGTGCGTTCATTTCAAGGCCACACATGCCGAGTCAAGTGCAAGCCTTGTGCCAGGCCCCGAGCCACAACGCTGTCCCTGTGGAGAGAGACTTGAAACAACGGAATTGACATAGTCCAGCAAATGCAAGACTGAATGCGATGAGGAGCCGAGGCGAGCAGACGGGAGGGCACTGGGAAGCCGCCTGCGTTGCGTCAGG